AAAAAATTATGTTATATTTTTTTTTTCCACCTAAGTTTCTGGATTGGGTTAGAAAGGCTTATTGATGATGCTTTATAAACCTAATTCTATGAGGTTAACATTTAGGTAGGGCCACCAATTAGTTTTATCTACAGTAATTTTTATTTAAGTACATATTATACATGTTTCTGTATTTGTATATGTTTGTAACTTGTTGAAAAAGGGCAATAAAAATATTCAATTATCATATGTAACCAGTTTAATTGTGTAACGCTCATGGCTAAATTTTCTGAGAATGTAAAATAAAATTGATGTCCATTTTGTCAGATAGAAAATAGACAGCATTACTATATAAATAGATGACATATATTCCAATGATTATACAATGAAATCAAACCTTGTACTAGTGAGGAATAAGATTTAGATGGAAGAATAAGATGCTTAGTACATTACTGTCAATCAATGTTTCTACTGTACATCCAGGATAACAATAATCTTAAATAGGAACACACCTATTATTGCAAAATCCTAACTAAGTACTTCATTACTTGTAAATGTCACTTTCAATTAATAAAGTAACAGATAACCACTTTACTGTTGTATATGTGGCTTGTGACTATATTTGTATAATTGAAACACTGGCATTTTGGGGGAACTTTTATCATTTTACTTGTTCATCATAGTCTGCATGAAATAAATCTCCATAGTAATTCCTTATTATTATGGTTAATCACAGAGTCAGCCAGATTTTTAGTGTATTCAGGATTTTTATCCACCTACTGAGTCCTTCCCAAAGACCTGGGTTAATCAGATAGGAAAGTTTATTGGTGTTAAAAGTATTGTTGCTTCTGAGTAAAGCTGCCTTTTACAACTAACTGATGGTGATTTTGTCAATTGTGATGGTGTTCAAATGGTGCTCTGTTTGTTTTGGGATTGCACCCAAGGTGACGATTACTATTGGTATTACTTTTGCTTGCTTCTGCCACAGTCATTCTATTTCTATAATGCAGGTCTTTGTATTTTATGATCTTCTCCAGTTCTTTGTTTTTTCTTCTGCTATCCCAGGTCCACTATCCGGACTTATTTGTCTTTCTTATTGACAAGTGTTAGGTCTGGTGTATTATGTGGCAGGCGCCTTCTGTTTGAATACTAAAGTCCCAAAGTACTTTAGTTTCTTCGATTCCTATTACTGTCTCTTTTTGATGGTCCCACCAGTTTTTGCCTGCAGGCAAATGGTATTTCTTGCAGATCTTCCCATGCATCATTGTTGCTATTTTGTTATGCTGTCAGTCTATGCAATTTTCTTGCATCTGCTAACCAGCTGGTTGGTTTCTTCAGCTTCTTTGCAGAGGTGGCATCTACTGCCTGTTGCTATCTTCTCAATTCTGGCTTTGTATGAATTTGTTCTTGATCTAGTGCAGCCACAATTAGCCCCTGTGTCTCTTTCTTTAACTTTCCTTTGCCAGCTCTTCTTGTTATCTGCTTTGCCTGCTAGTGTGTGTGTGTGTTTGTGTGTGTGTGTGTGTGTTGGCCATGTAATACTTTGCCTTGCTATGTGTCTTTTCTAGTCTTCATTTGGTCTTTCTTAAATGCGAGTTTGATCTCTACAGTATTCAGTATCCCTTCATAGTGTACTAGTTGCTTCATTGTCTTTCAGATATTCTTCCAATGGCCTTTATTCTTCTTCAACTATCTCATGTACTTCCAAAATTCTACACCCACCAATTTTCCTTGGTAAGTAGAGTTTGTCAATGTCACTGTGAGTATGAAGGACATGCTTCATTGTCGTTATTTTTCTGGTCTTCCTATCCAGGGCTTTTATTGGACTGTTTGAGTCCAATCCATTATTCCAGCTGTGTTAATTTGCACTGATATTATTTCCTTCACTGAGTTTGAACTTTCAGATCTTCTTCACTCTCATGGTGTGTTCACTTCTAACATTCTTCTTGATTTCAGTTTGCTTGATGTTGTCAGCTTGAAGAATGTCCAGGTATTTATAGTGATCTTCTTCATTAACTCTGGATGTTATTTCCATAGGGCATCTTGATTCCGTCAGTGTTCACTATTTTTCCTCTGTTGATAGTAAGGGTGGCACCTTTGTTTAATCCAAATTCCACTGCAATATCTTGGCTGTGTACATGGGCAGTGCTGAGTAGTGATTCTATTTGAGATGGTGTTTTTCCATATAGCTTCAGATGTAAAGGAGGTGGGAGAGTCTGGCAGATATTTTTGATGTTTGATAGCCATGAACGGTTTAGTGTTGAGAGTTACACTGAATCAATGTAATGGTGCTGATAGTGAGTATCCTTGAAAGATTCTTCTCTTGATATTAACCTCTCCCAGTCTATCACATTGACCAGCAATTACATCTTCCACTGTGCCATTGATCTTTGCACAAAACTCCTGATGTGTGTGCTGACTTCTGTTATTTCTAGGTACTTTTATTATCCAATCATATGGCAGGGAGTCAAATGCTTCTCTGTAATCAAGAAGTTTTCCTTCTTTTGCAATTTTATAAAATCATTTTGTCAATTAGGAGCTGATCTTTCGCTTCTCTGCTGCTTGGGCATTTTCTTTTCTGCTCAGACTGAAATAGTGTTTTCAACTAGATACAGTTGGATTGCATCAGCTACAAGCTCAGTTAGCAATCTGAAAGCTGTTGGTAAGCAAGTAATTGGCCTGTAGTTGCCTGGGACTGCCTCTTTTGTTAAATCTTTCATTATACCAGGTAGGTTCTGCCAGATGTAAATCAATCTTCAAATTCATCTCTGTATAGTTTGATGCTAATTGCTTGGCAATGTCTGTATATAGATCAGCCAGATGTTTCAACCAAAAACCATGCAGTTTATCTTCACCTGATGCTGACCAATTGTTGACCTTCCCTACCCTTTTCTTTACCATTTCTGCTGTTGTTACAAATTCTTACATTTCAGCTTCTTTATTTTTGCTACCTCCTTTATCCAAGCTGCTGTTTGTTGTATTTTGGGGGGTTGTCCCATAGAGATGCTCAGAATTGCACCGTTTCTTCTTTGTCAGGTGTTGATTGGTTCATTATGGGTTCTTAATTGAGGATTGATAGAAACATTTCTGATTCAACTGAAATTGGAAATTCTGCCTATAGTGTGCAATTCAGGCTTTATATCTGCTGAACTTCTTGGCTACAGCTGTTATTTGCTCTTTATATTTCTAGTGCTTCCTTGATTTCCTTTCCTTTAGGTCACGGGTGTCAAACTCGATTGCATCACATGACGTATCGTGATGTTTTTTGCCTTTGCGGAGCTGGGGTGGGCGTGGCCAATATGTTATGCATCCGGCCCACAGGCCACCAGTTTGACACCCCTGCTCTAGGTAATACTTCTTGATCAGGTATTGATCAATTTCTTCTCCTTCAATTATTCTAAGCTGCTTGCATCTGATCTAACATACTGATCTTATTTTCAATCTGACCTTCCATTTTGGTGGTACACTGTTGTTTTTTTGTTGTTGTTGATTTTGCATCCAAGATATTCAGTTTTAACTGTAGCTGTGCTGTGTATTAGTTGATTTGTTTCTTGCAGTGACCTGGTGCTTATATTTCATATTACAATATTTTAATACTTGTGCTAGCAGGCAACATTATTCTTCTGTTGTTGTGCTGTTCTAGATGCTCATTTTTTTGCTTTTTAATTAGAGGGATTTGTTCTTTCTGAGGAGAAGGCAGTGACTTGTTTGGGAATGAGAATGAATGAATAGCTATGCTAGTTTCATCTATTACCAACTCCCCATGGTTTGTCTCTACAATGTGAGTTACTTCTGGTGAGGCTTCAGTTTCTCAGTTTCTGGTGAGGCTTCAGTAGATCTTTTGCAGTTCTTCCAATTCTTCTTCTGTGAATATTTTGTTTTGTATTATAAAAGTGTTGATCTACTAGCCTCTGTTCTGTTATTTCTGATTTTAGATGTTGTTCTTTCCAGAACTGTGCATTGTCTTCAGAAATCCTCTTCTCATTGGGACTTGATTTGTAATAACAGTTCATTCAATTTTTCAATAGCATTCTTTGTTTTCAGTCTTTGTATATTTGCAATGGGTAAACAACTTTTCTTCTAGTAGACCCACACTTGGTGGCCTTAGTTGCTTAGCCCACAGTCCTGAGTCCTGTACTCCATTTGTCACCAGATGTCCAGGAACTCCAACATCTAGTGTATTGTTGACCCAGGCAATGATCAATCTTGTATGGGTTCCTGTAAATTAAGTCTCACTTTATTGTTAATGGATAGTAGTAAGAAACTTTTAATTTTAGATGCTTAATTAGTAAGGTAATTATCCCAGTAACATATATTTAATTGGCAAAATATACTTTTTCCATTTAAAAATTTGCCAAAAAAATAGCAATACTCATCAAAACAATTAGATGTTTCAACAAGTTTTCATTCAAAGAATATGAGTTAAGTTTATAGTTGGTATTTTCAGATAATTTTTCTACTACAATAAATGTAAAGTTTCTTAATATTGTTTTACAAATTCTTTCCTTCCTGCAAGGATTGCTCATTTTTTCAATATTCAAAACAATATTTACATTTGAAAGACTATGAAACTTAGGGGTATTTTATTACACAGAATGTGTGATCAAGTCCTTAAATTTAACTATCTTCAAATTTGATATTACATGTCATAAATATGGAGATATTGCAGAAAAAGTAAATGTAAATCTTTATCTCATTTTACCTATCTCTCAAATCTTACATGGAGGCAGAGCAGTATTCTTAGAATGATCTGATGGATAGCATTTCTATTCTGATGGACAGAATAAATTATTTTGTCATTGTGAGTTTCTATAGGAACAACCTCCCAAACTTCTTCTTTAAATAAATATTAAAAATGAAGCCATTCTATTTTTCTTAACATCAATTACACCATATGCAATTGATACTGAATTAGTGCTAATACAGATAACAGCACAAATATAGAATCCAGTATTTTTAATTGTCTAGGAAGGCCCTTACTCTAAATTCAATAGCTGTCTGTAGTGATGTCCAGGTCTCACCTCATCTTTTATGTCTTCTTGCTGTTGAGCACTGAAGATCTCCATTGCAGCCATCAGCCTCATCATTAACTCATCCACTGTTGTGTTTCCTAGCAACAAAGAAGGACAGTTGACCTTCATAATATTAAAGTTATTTTAAAAACTCAGAAAGTTGTTTTAGAAATAATCCAAAAATAACATCTTAAGATTTTTTTCATAAGTCACAAAAAGAAAATTTAATTAGTTTTATTTTAGTGTCATTTAATTTATGTTTTAAAGTTTCTGAAAGTTTCAAGTAGTAAATGTGAATCTAAATGAAAAAGTTAGATTGATTGTAATTTTTATTTCATCTTCATTTCAGCAATAATAGCCAAGTCAGGATTTCAAATTAGTGTTAAATAAGGAGGAAAGAAGGAGATTTTTTATTTTTAAACATTTTTTTCAAACTGTCATAAAAATTCATAGTATGTCTCTAGATATTATCACAAGATCTTTTGACATATCTATTTTTGATATTTGTGTTGAGTTTAAATACTAACATTTACAATTAATATCCCTCAGAATAACCTCTTGTCATTCATTGATTCAAAGATTGCTAACATATATAACAATGAACAGCCCATTTCCCCCTTAACTGGACACTATTTGTTGGCTTATTATTTCTTGATTACATTGCTAATGTAAGGAGATTTGAAATACATAAAGAAATTCAACAGCTCTATTCCACTGCATATGAATCTTGGTTTCAACCTCTGCAATACTTTTCACTGTGATTTTAATCCATCAATATAGCAATATTCAGTTTTCAGTGGAGAATATGGAAGTACATTACTACTAAGTTTCAACATTCCAGTTGCCAGAAAAGTATTGTAAAATGTAAGTAATTTATAAGTAAATATCAAGAGATTAAGAGAAAACTATAGATATTATATTACAAAACATCAAACTGACTGATTGAATATAAGTCTAGTTTTTCCCTTCAATTATTTCTGGATTTTTTTGGAGTTTCAACATAAGGATGGTAGAGATCCTGCAGGCACATCTGATATCTTTTAAAAAATCAATGAATATCAATGAAATATCTATAGAGCTATGAATACTCGTACAGTTATTTTTATGAGAGTGAGGTCAATTACAAAAGGTTAGCTATCCCCACTCTTTGTTTGTGCTTTCTTCCTAATGGGAGAAAGGGAGAGGGAGAAAAGGCGAGAAGAGGAGAATAAGTTTGGGAGGTGAAGTTCCTTACTCACACTCAAGTTACTAGAACAAGAGGGTAAGTTTTTGAATGTGACATAGTAACTTCTCCAGGTAACTAAGATTAATCCTGAGACCTACTTCTAAAATTCAGCTACAGTATAACATTTGCCAATTTTTCTTACTTTTTTTTGTTGAGCAGCACCATAAAGTGTAAACTTTATAAGCTTAAAGCTTGTAAGCTTTCATACATTACCATGCTACATTAGTTTTGATCAGATGCATAAGATAAATTTACCAATTTTTCATTTTATCTGCACTACTTTGTTAATATAAGAATATAAACTATATTCCAGGAGAATTTATATACTTGAATACAAGTGTAATTGATGCAAATGCAGTTCAAAGTTTCCACACAAAACATGCATGAAGCAGAATAGACAGACTGTACCTTGTATTACATTCAATACTTCATTTGATGATCGTTTTCCCATAATAATAAGGAACAATGGAAACTGATCTGTCTTCTGAGTCCGAATAGTTTGGGCTACAACACTGCCAAAGTGTCTTGTGCACATTGTTAGAAATCTGAAAAATATGAATATTTTAATGAAAAGTTTGTATAAATAAATGTACCTTATTCATTTAATTTTGAAAATACATATACATGTCTTATAACTTCTATAATTTCACAGCAAAAATATATGCAGTACATTGTAGCTTACTTTCAAGAAAATACAGGACTTCATTTGTTGTTAACAGCAGCCCCCACTTTTTTCTCTTTTTATACCGCGGACTATTTTCCACGGATTCTCCCAATCTTACTACTATCCCTAGGCATCATACACCTCCATCCTTTCTTTTTTTTTTTTCAATGCTGCACCATACCTATTTTATTAAGCCATGCTATCTTCTTTATATTTTTCACTTAACATCTAAATTTTGTTACATTCTTTGGGGGAACAGTCATAGCTCTGTACCAATTATGCTCCCAGATTTAATAGTTAGATACAACTGAGACCTAGTGGATTAGTATGATCCTTCTGTCAATTCTTAACTTACATTGCTGAAAATCTTCACCTTCAAAAGATAGAAGGAAACAAAATAGCACCATAACATAAACCAAGGAAAACAAAAATTAGTCAATTCATGAGAAAATTCTACAGCTTATCATAAAACTATTGATGGGTAACCAACTTGAAATCAATTACAATATTAGATGCCAATCATCTAGAGATTATTCAATGATTAATGAAGAATATTTGTAGCTCATTTGTAGCTTATTCAATTATTATATTTGTAAAAATAATAAGTATTTCCAAACCAAAGTCATCCCTTTTTTATTTGATAACTTCCTTAGTAGACTGTGCAAATACTATGTACATATATTGTTTTCAACTATGCTTTGACAGTGCACCCAATTCTGATGGGATAACCAAGAAATGGTTATCCTATTTGCAGTTGACATAAAACAGGGCAGGACAGATGATATTTTAGAAGACCGAAACAAAATTCAAGTTGATCTTACTAGGTTAGAGGAATGAGCTGAAAATAACAGAATGCAGTTTAATAGAGATAATGTAAAGTTATACACTCAGGAAACAGAAAAATGCAGAAATATAGAAAGTGGAATTCCTGGGTACTAAAATTACCTTGGATCACAAACTGAATATGAATTAGTGATGTGATGCAGCTGCTAAAGGAGAATAAATTTTATGTTGTGCCACTGTAACAGTTTCCAAATATGGGAAATATACTATATTTTGCATTGATTAGTATACAGTGCTTCAAGTATTGTTTACATTTCTGGGTAACAGGTTTATAAGATTATTTAGAAAAATACAATGAGATTGGTTTTATGAGGAGAGAGAGGGAAAGACTGAGAAAAGATGGCTTGAAGGAAATTTTCAGATAGCTGAAGGGTATCATAGGCAACAAAGTGAGCACCTGCTCTCTATCATTCCAGAGAGTAGGATACTGAATAATGATACAGGTAGTCCCCAACTTACGACCGTAATTGAGCCCAAAATTTATGTTGCTAAGTGAGAAATTTGTTAAGTGAGTTTTGTCCCATTTTATGACTTTTCTTGCCATGTTTGTTAAGTGAGTCACTGTAGTTGTTAAATTAGTGACACCGTTGTTAAGTGAATCTGGCTTCCCCATTGACTTTGCTTGTCAGAAGTTTGCAAAAGGGAATCAGATGACCCTGGGACACTGCAACCATCATAAATATGAACCACTTGCCAAACTTCTGAATGTAAATCATGTGACCATGGGGCTGCTGCAATGGTCATAAGTCACTTTTTTCAGTGCTGTTGTAACTTGAGCAGTCACTAAACAAACTGTTATAAGTCAAGGACTACCTGTATTAAATTACAGATATTGGTAAATGAAACCCAAAAAAGAAAAAAAAACTTCTAGTGGTAAAAGCAACGTGAAACTCAGATTACTGAAGGAGGGAATTCCCTTTCCTAATTAGAATGTAGTCAAACAATTACCTGTCAAGAATGCTTTTATTTGGATTCCTGTACCAATTAGAGGGGTTGGGCTTGATGGCCCAAATAGGCTATATGTTTCTATGAACTTGGAAAATTAATGGGATAGAGATAGATGAATAATATTTCACTGTTTTTTATTACCTAGCTCTGCATTAACAAAAATTACAAAATGCTCTCAATGTCTTTTCTGATTTATTCTTAAAATTCAAACCAAAAGAGATGGAGGACAGTAATCAAAACAACAGATCCATATTATTAGGAAAATATATCCGCTTCTCCTTGTTAAAGGAAAGTTTCTTACTTGGGCAACAGCCTCCACTATTCTTGGCATTCTTCTTTATTCCTAATTCTGAATCCCACATTTTACTACTGTAACAGGAGCAGCAACAATGCAGAAATCAATTGATATTTCAATAAATTAAGATGACCCCACTAAATTCAAATAGTTATTTCTTTATGTGCAAAAGCAAAATGATACCACAGTGGAGAAAAGTACAAGGCTAAAAGCAAAGCTTAATTTGGTATCTTCAGATGTTGAACAGAATGCATCATCATGCCATCTCCTCAGATGACTCATTTTGAAAGGAGGAGAAAAATCACTAAACTCATACATGCCAATTCTAGCATTAAAGATTGTGTGATTCTTGAATCCACTTTTTGAACTCCAGTTTAAACTATCTGCGCAACTCCCATGCCCAAGGAAGTGGCACTGGCACCGAGTTAAATTTCAAAAGGTCAAAAGCCATAGCTAAGCTAGTTTGGATCAAAAAACCTAATCTATTAAGGATTATTACTATATGGCCCTGGATCCTGAGTAAAGGTATTAAATAGGGACTGGACTGAGGGGTAAAAATCTTTAGTGTAAAGTTTTTCCTTCCTACATAGGAAGTAATACCATTTTTGGTAAAGATTATATACTTAAATCTTGAAGCATTGTTTGAAATCTGTTCCAAAAATGCCTCATAAGAATCAAATGGAGATTAAAACCATTACTATATTTCAGTTTTATTCTTTACGATGCAAGAGGATTTTTCCCCCCCTCTCCTCTAAGGTATACTCTGATAGATTTGATGATTTTGAGGTCCATAAGAATGGGTACTGAAGATTGAACTCTTTGGCAAGAATCAATACCATAACATTTCAGAAGTTCATTGTAAAAAATAACACACACACATACACACCAAAAGTTGTAGATGAACAGCTTGCATATAGAAATATGTTAATATAACTTTCAGTAATTAATTAGTGAAAGAAGTAATACATATCAAGGAGTCATGTTTTTGAAGATTGTACTAGTTCCCTTCACTTTCATACTTACTAGTATGTTCTGAAAAACACTAATTCTAAGCTTTTGACAAAAAAAGCTTTCATCCATTATCATACTGAAGTCTGACATTAGTATTCTTAACACGATCTTGAATAAATGAAAAAACTGATAAAGCTTTTCACTTCCATTAGAGGACTGTTTGAAATTAGCATTTCTTTCAAGAGAAAAGGGTAGCTTATGATATGTTTTCAGATCTGATGGTAAAAAGTAAATGTCATAATAATAATGAATTATGAAAGACCAAATGCAAATATAGAATGCTTTAATAAGATCCAATTTAATAAAGTCTGTAAAAATAATGGACTTTTAATAACACAGGTCACAAAAGGCAAAACAGTGGAAATTCTGAGGACTAGCCACTAGCAGAAGCTTATTAATTCTTAATTATGTTCATGAAAGGCAACTTAAATCGTGTATTTTCTTATGCCTTAGGATAATATTTTAGGTAACAACTGATCTGAAAACTACCTGATGAGCATAAGCCTTTTTGTCCCATGCTTTAGAAGGTAAATCTATCTGAAAAGACAAACGGCATTAAAATGTCACAGGATGAAAAGCATTTGATATCAACATCCAAAGCAGAATCACAACACTTAATTTTCATATTATTAATAAAAAAATATCTATGATTCAGAAATCTAGAATGATAAATAAAAATCCTTGATTCCAAAGTGAATATGATTCTGACAACTATTAAAGTTCGAGAACAAATTGAGTCAATTTTGTGTTATTGGCTTTATTTAAATAAAATAAAGTTACTAACTTTTTAGTAAATAATCAGATGTGGTTAACAAACAGTTCAAAGGTTAGAGTAATTACATGATGATGTCCTTCATGTGCTAGTTGGCCATAACTGGTATGTGGAAACCACAAAGTGGGATGAAAGGTCTTCTGATTTTATTGGGAAATAAAATCAGGGTGAGTCTAGGGTGAGTTGGACTCTGGAAGCTTTGTGCCATCCACAATGGATCTGTGTCATCCTTATTTTGATTCTCAGGAAACTGTCTCAAGAAGTCATCCTCATCAAACTAATTGCTAAGTTATGTATCCTATGCTCTCAGTAGACTATTTAGATAAATTATATGATTTATACTCAAAAAGAAACTTTTAAATTTTTATAGAAGTTTGAAAATACCTATTTGATGTGACCAAATCCAATTTAGCAAACCAAATATTTGAAGAAGAGCCCTAGTGCTCTTTAAACATGAATCAAGAAATGGTGAAACTTATTTCTATACCTATTTATGGTAAATTTACTGTAGTGTTTTTTCAAAGTAAAAGAATACTTGTTGAATATTAAACTTATCCAACATCTATTTAATATGATTAATTTTATACTATGCAAAGTCAATATGTTTCATTAAAATGTGAATAAAGAAATAACATTTTATGCTATTAATATTTAAATTTTAAATGTAGAACTGGAAGCTATATTTTATTTATTCATGACGTGACTATCTTAGCCAATTCTACATGCCATCCACTTAGCCCTGCCTTTCTTTGAAGACAATTGTTACTTTTGACTGGGTTCTTGAAACATTTCTTGCTATATTCTTCTATGTGTAAATAACTGATCAGTAGCATTCAATTGTTGTTTAGAAGCTTCTTTAAAAATGCTTAAATTTCCATTATTTGGAGTTTGTCACCAAAGTCAGCCTTTATCAGATAACTTGCAGAGCAGCCTCAACCAAAACTGATGGATTAGAATAACGTAAGGCTGTTGGTCCACATAAGTGAAACAAAGGTTACTTTATATATTATTT